TCACTTATTAAGGGGGAAAGAAAGTCCTCTCTACTTAGGATTTTTAAAATTTTCTTATTTAAACAAATTTTAAGACTTTTTTTTTTTACTATTATTGTTTTTTTAAGTTTATTTATTTTGAGAGAGAGAGAGAGAGCACAGGAGAGGGGCAGAGAGAGAGAATCTCGGGCAGGCTCCGTGCTGGCAGCACAGAGCCCGACGTGGGGCTCGAACTCACGAACCGTGAGATCATGACCCGAGCCGAAACCAAGAGTCAGACACTTAGCCAACTGAGCCACCCAGGGAACCCCTAGAGTTTCTTTTTAAATAGAACTACTGGAGTAAAACTTCAAGGATCCAAATCGCTTTGCTGCTTCCTAGAAGTGGGGCGGGGGAAGATAGCTTCGCCTCGCTGCGCCTCAGTTTTCCCATCCACAAAGTGGGCACAATGATGGTAGTGCACTAAAAGGGTTGTCTTCAGGACCAACAGAGGAGGGCGGCTAGTTAATGCACACGAAGCCGCTGGCCTTCGTAAGAGTAGCAAAAGCTTGGCAAATGGTTATGACTATTTTCATTTGAAAGACCCAACCTCACCGCTGGGCGTGGGAGGCCCCCGTTTTCCAGGATTCCTGAGTTCAAATGCCCGGCCTCCAGAACAGCGAGGGGAGAGGCAACCAGAGGTTTAGATTTATGATTTCGTGCCAGTACATCACGGTCTCCAGCCACCGCCCACAGAAACCCCTGCTTTGGGCCTCAGGGACGCCCGGGCCCGTGTCTACATTCCCCACGAGGCGCTCAGAAAGGGCGCCATCCTGGAAGGGGTTGCGGGGCCCTCGACACTCGTCAGAGGAAGCCGCGGAAGAGGCCGTGCCCCGAGGGGCGTGCGCAGGCCGCTCAACGAGTTCAAGCACAGAACCAGCCGCGAGACCCGGGAGTCCAGACGTCCGGATGGGTGCGCGCCCCCCTGTGCCCTGCCCGGGGCCCCCACACCATTTCTGCCCACGTCCTCGAGCTGATCCGTGGAGAGTGACTGCAAAGAACAGACGCTTTGCGTACATCGTCTCCTGGGTTCCCCAAACCTGCCCGATAGTTTCTGTTACCTGAGTCCACGCTTGCCATCACCCCCGCTGCACACAGCCTATGCTGGACAGCGCTCTCTCCACATTGCCTTCGAAAGATTTGGGGGCCAAAAAAAAAAAAAAAAAAAAAAAAAAAAAAAAAAAAAAAAAAAAAATCCTTCCTCAGCGACAACTTTAAATAGGTTGGTTCCATAGAAACAATCTGCAAGCGACATTTCAAGGCTGATGTATTTAAAGTCTAGCACAAGTTCCTTTTCTAGGACGGTGACATTCTACAGTCGCCTGTGGCTTATTCTTAGTTCGACTTTGGTCACAAAAATATACAGCGTGCCCCGCGCTGGGGAGAATTGGAAAGCCAGATGAGCTGTGATTAGCAAACCTGGGCTCCCTTTAGATGTTTTGCCCAGATGGTTGGTCCCTTGTTTCCCTTTCTAGAGTTTGTGAAGACTCTTTTCTCACACAGAGAGCTGGGACGTGAGGTGACGCAGGCCTGGGCGCTCTCTGTAAAGCCAGCACCCTCGCAAGCACGCAGGGAAGGGGAGGAACCGCAGCCTTCATCAGTCATTCGTTCATTCATTCCTTCATCCACTAGCTCGTTCACTCATTCACAGATATTTCACAAGCTCCCAGGGATTTCTTATCGCGGCATATTTCCTATTGCAGCGTGACCCAAGTCCCTCTACACTTAGCAGCTTGGAACAACAGTGAATATTATCTCACACCATTTCTTTGGGTAGGAATTCAAAGGTAGCTCAGCTGCCTGGTACTGACTTGGGATCTCTCTTGGGGTTGTAGTCAAGCTGGGACATCTTGCTTGGCTTGACGTCCCGGGGCTTAACCACGGCTGGGGGATCCACTCACCCGGCTGGCAGGAGGCCTTGGGGAACTTGCCACGTGAGCTTCCACCTGTGGCTGCTGAGTGTCCTCATGACATAGCGACCAGACACCCCCAGAATGAGTGACTGAGAACAAGGTGGATGCCACAACATATCTTATCACGGAGCTGGAAGTCACCCACCGCCATTTCCCTAATGCTGCTTACACGTCCAGCCCTACTTAGGGTTGCCAGATTTAGCAAATAAAAATACAGGATTCCAAGGGGTCCCCCGGGGGGCTCAGTGGGTTAAGCATCTGACTCTCGATTTCGGCTCAGGTCATGATCTCACGTTTCGTGATTTCGAGCTGTCAGCGTGGAGCCTGCTTGGGATTCCCTCTCTCTCTCTCTCTCTCTCTCTCTCTCTCAATGAATTAACAACAAAAAATACAGGATTCCCAGTTTTGAATTTGGATTTCACATAAACAACAAGTAAGTTTTTAGTATAAGTATGTCCCATGAAATACTGTAAAATACTGAAAATTTATTGTTTTACCTGAAATTCAAATTTGTTCCTACACTCATACAGTCTACAGTCTAGTAAGACCAGTTTGAATCAAGCCACCAGGCCAATCAATGCAAACCTTCGCTGTGAGCAAGCGCTTCAGAGGGAAGGGTTGGAGCTTGGGACGGGGCTGATGTTCTCACCAGAAGAGCCACTTTTATGTTTCTTTTTTAAAAAATATTTATTTAGGGGCGCCTGGGTGGCTCAGTCGGTTGAGCGTCT